AAGTCGGGTACGGAGGGGTGAAGTGACTGCGCCTACAGGCAGAGAGCAAGTCTGCAGTCAGAGACATCAAAACCTAAGAGTCCTTGGCTTCTAGCACTGTTCAGCCTCTATTTAGCAGAAAATTAATCTGTGTCCTGTGATTAAACTGCTCCTTTCTTTGCTTTGTAGGTACAGAACGCTAGTGATTTGCTGATCAAACCTTTGGAAAACTTTCGGAAGGAGCAAATAGGGTTCACCAAGGTAAGGCTTGATTATTTGTTTGTTTTAAATATAAACAGATATGTTTTCTATTACTGTGTTTGAATTTGATTTTTCCCACTGCTTTTTTTGTTATTTTTTAAAAACTAGACAATTGTTGTACTACATTTCAACTTCATGCTTCAGAAACTCCCCCATCTAATGCTGGCTTTCAGCTGCTGGCACGAGGCAGTCTGTGCTGTGACTTTTAGTCTGATTTTTCAATCATAGGAGGCTCCAAAACCTTTTCCTGAATTCTTTGGGTTCTCTTCTGGCCTGATTCCAGCACTGTCTCCATCTTGAGCAAGGAGTGCTTGTTTCGACCGGGGATCAGGAGATACTCCTTGCTTCTTTCCCTCTGCTCCCCTTTGTCCATTCAGTGCTACTGAGAATAAAATACTTTCCATTGATAAGGTAGAGCAGAGGGAGAAAGAGCAGCAGAGGCCGGCAGTCCCAATCTGATTATAGTCATAGGGCTTTTGTTATGAAATATTTAAATAAGGCATCTAAGGAGTCTTTCAGAAGGACCAGACTTTTAAAGAGACAAACTACGAAAAGCAACTCTTGCACATGTTGAGCAGAAAATACTTTTTTCCCTTGTCTGCTATCAAGAAGTCCAGGTTCCGCGTTACTTGGCGGCAGCTTGAAATGGGGCTGGCTCTGATCCAGCTCAGAAATGGAGACGTTTTGGAGAACACTTGGGGCTTGGATTCAGCCCAGCCCATCTGGACTCTTTGACGTTTAATAAATACGGGATTTGAGAAACGATACTTGGTCACCATCCTGCCCTTCAGAATCCCCCGGTACAACTGTGTGTGTAGAACGCCTCTCCGAGAGGCCGCTGCGCCGTCAGCGTGGCGAGGGCAGCGCTGTCAGCGCGGCAAAGGCACCGTCAGCGTGGCGAGGGCAGCACTGTCAGCGCGGC